TGCTGGCATAAAAAATATGTTTAAAGTAAAAAAATCATTAAAATATTAAAATATCAAAAAATCTCCCATAGTTCTGATTGGTGATTGAGTGAAAAACGTCCGAAGTCCTCATGTCGAAAAAAAAATCGGGACAAACGGTGTGCGACATCATTGAATAAAAAAGTATTTATAACTCGGAAAAGGTGCGTTAAATCGAAGAAATAATAGAAAAAATTGAATAATTGTCATTACTGGTCTTTTTTTAATAGGAAAAGCGAATATATAATTCTTTATACATTTTTAAGACATTTTTCTCTGTCCTATGTGACATTTATGAAAAAAATCATCATGGTTTCCCTTTGATCTTAACAACCTCGCCGAGGGATCTAATTGCAGGCTTGCCAGCACGTGTCGCTGCCGAGGAATGCCCTGTTAAAATTTTATCAAATTGAAACCTTATTCGACACGGCACTAATCAATGAACATAAATTATCGCTTGGCTAACGGTCATGGCTCTGGATCCACAAATAGCGACGGTATAACGTAACTAAACGGGCATAAAAGGTAATAAAGTCTCTATTTAGGGAGCGCCCATCCACCCACAACCTCACCGACGTGTACACACGGTTTGATCGAGATCAAAGCGTTTTATGTCGCGCATTAAATTGTGAAGACACGGCGATGTGCCGCCGGTTGATATGTACAGCATTAGAATACAGAATTGACTGCCCTAGAGGCCTTTTATAGGAATATGGGTTTATGTGGTACGTTATACAGTCAATTTCCAAATATTACGTGAAATAATAATATACCGTCCCTTCCCCATATCAATTAGAAATTCTTTGTCGGAAAGCGATGACGGATGCCTAATCTAGTAATCAAGTGTGCGGGACTCGAAACGAAAGAGAAGAAATTTAAATTCTCTTATCAACAAATATTTGTACTCATTTATTACAATTGCTTTTTAAAAAAATAAAGTAGTGTATTAATTTTCAAAATTAAAGTTTAAGTAAATAAAATATTTTATAAAAAATTTCCAATTCAATATTTTCTTAGCTTAAGGAGGTATATCGGGGTCCGAGGGAAGTGAGGATCGCAGGGGGGTCCTATGCTTTTCTTATGGGACTAAAATCCGCTACCAACTTGAAAAAATTAAATTCTATTGAAATTATTTGCGCTAAACATTATATATATGGCAAAGAAATCTACTCAATATGCACATAACATACATATTGAAAATTAACAACATAAAAGTATCATATTTAAGTAGTTTTAAATTATATTTAATGAACGCATATACACTATGTAGATGTGGCAACAGCGCTAATAATCGAGTGCAGTTGTACGCGTCAAATTCGGGTAAAGATGCGTACGCGTTCAAAAATGTATTGTGTGTATATACACAATATAATTATTATATATATAGAAAATATATCGTATTATCTTCGCGAAGATTTGTATCCTTTATTTAAAATCCGTAAATCATGTGAACTGATAAAACAACGAGAATTATGTTAATTTAGTTCTAAAGAAATAAATGACACTCGCGCCCATCTCTCGTCCAAGTCAAAGAAAATGTTGGATGCAATTTTGAAGGTTCTGTGATAGAAATTACATTACTACTCACTGTTCGTGTTTTTAATCTCTATTTTATTAATGTTACAAAAGTTTTGCAACTATAACTAATTTTTTAGATATAAAGTTTGCTGAGAAATATTTATGTTCCTTTGTTATTCTGTACAAATGTTTTTATCTCAAGTGTTACTAATTATATTAATCAAGTAAAGAAAACTTTATGTAACCCTAAATATTGCTGGGTAATGATTACGATGTTTTTATAAACCGTTAACTATATAAAAAGGATTTATTAACTTTATTTTTTATTCCAATAAATAAATATATCACAGCCTTTTTTAATTAATCTAGTTTTTTTAAAAACATTACAAAAAATAATATGTTGTGGATAATTTATTGTTGATAACAATGTACATGGGACTTACGAAAAATGTATATGTTTGAAATAAATTTCGTTTTTATCAAGTCTTTCAAATGTATTCCCTCCTTGCTGTCAACTAATTGCGACGTTGCCACATTAATCCTCAAGTCGGAAAGAAATGCAATTATTGGTTTCTGATTCTAGTTCTGAGTTATTTATTCATCGTTTTACTACATTATTTCTAACACTTTCTATGATAATTCTTTACTATTTTAATACCATACAGTGTTCTAAGTAAAAAATATCACAGTCGGGCTTCATTTTCGTCAACAGAACCAGTCCCGAGGTTGCCAACTCTAAGGAAATTTGCAAGCCTCTAGGGAAACAGGGAAAGCTCGGACTAAAAATCATATAGGTTCTTTTTTTACTTTTAAAATTTAACTATTTTTAATGTTGCTTTGAGTATATTTTTTAAATATATAAATTATATTCTCATTTATAATTTTATAATTAGGTACATCTGCAAAAAATACATGTATATTTCATTATAATCTATATATTCAAAAATATAGATGTATATTTCAGTCTAAAATAAGTTTTTATTTATTTTTAGTATCTTGGCAGAATATTCTTTGAAATTTCGATGGCGGGATAATTGCAAATTATTGTTCACTGGATGCATACATACAAAAAACGTCACGTAATCAGCGACCTACCGATTTAAAATTTCAAAACCTAACCACTTTTTGAAACTTGTAGCCTGCAGCAACAATAGGGGGGGACACCCCTCTGTCGCCACTTGGCTACGCCCATGTACAGTTGTGCAATACAGGGTGTCCCGAAATTCATGCAACAAAATTTGGTCACAGATTCTCAAGACAAATTTAGGGGACCCGTATTTTTTATTTTTGCCAAGTGGCCCCCTCTTTCGGAGTTACAGCCCCTTGAGGCCCGCCCCTAAGAATAATCTATTTTTTATATCTCAGAACCTTGTTGTGCAAGAATCACTAAATTTGGTACACAGGGGTTTTATGGCATGTGGAATCTGATGGTGCTATGTTTTTTGTCGGGAAACACCCTTAAGATAATTTTTCGTGGGCCCCCTTGTCTTTGGAGCCAAAAAAATTTGGTCGCATATTTAAATTTCTTAAAAATTATCAGTCCACTAGAAAGCCATTAAATTTAGAAACTTTTTGTCTCTTTATACTTTTTTCGTAAAATGTTTTTGAGAAAAATGTCAAAATGTGATCGAATGCATATCGTGATACGCCATTTTCCTCAAAAACATTGCGTTTTACGAAAAAAATATAGACAAAAAGTTTATAAATTTAATGGCTTTCTAGTGGACTGATAATTTTTAAGAAATTTAAATATGCGACCAAATTTTTCTGGTTCCAAAGACAAGGGGGCCCAAGAAAATGTGTCTTAAGGGGGTTTCTCGCCAAAAAGCGTAGCACTGTGAGATTCCACATGTCATAAAACCCCTGTATACCAAATTTAGTGATTCTCGTACAACGTGGTTTTGAGATATAAAAAAAGACTTCTTAGGAGCAGATTTTAGGGGGCTGTAACTCCGAAAGAGGGGGCCAGTTGGCAAAAAGAAAAAATACTGTCCCCTAAATTTGTCTTAAGAATCTATGACCAAATTTTGTTGCATGAATTTCGGAACACCCTGTATATTTAAATAATACGGTAGCTAAAATCACAGTTTTTATATTATTCTTGTCTCGTATCTTATGTTCAGAACAGTAATTTACAATTTAATGTAAATAATAATTCAAAATATGCCACAATGGCATAAAAAATGGTAAAATCCGGTACTTAGGTTTATCTTATAAGTTATAATGCACATAATCTTTCACGTCTGTCGATAAAGTACGATTATTCTTTACATTTGCCTGAACATTACAATCACATAAATATGACACTAGGAAATGATTGAAAATAAGCTGTAGGTACTTTAGATTTTACCTCGTTGTGTCTTTTTTATAAGCTTAATAAAATTTATGTAAGTACGATCCTGACTTACACAAATTAGAACCGACAATCGTGCTTATATTATTCTTCTTACAAGACATTTGCATTACTGGTTGAATATAACTTGTATACCATGGATCTCTGTTACAATATGGTCTAATTAATGCTTTGAAAAGTTCAGCCAACTTGATTGCACATTGATGCTGGTTCATGAAAATCGCAAGTTTTATGCAAAAAATGGCGCGCATTACTTCTAGAAAAAGATCAAGCAAATAATTTCAACTTTTTCAGAAAAATAAACTCGTTTATTTATGACAGAACTGACATGCAATTCGTGAGGCTACCAAGAATGTAATCCTTATATTGTATATGTTAATTTATTTATTTTATTTGTCTGTTATTATTAGATCTTTTGTCTGGATTTTATATTTTGCTCTATTTTGTGTAGTTCTTATATTTTTATTAACACTTAAGTTCTTTTCTCTGGATTTTATATTTTGATCACTCTATTTTGTCTAGTACTTATATTTTTATATTTAATGTTAGTTTGCCTTTTTTTTTAATTTTGTTAACGTTTTATGTTTTACCTTATCTTGTAATTGCGACTTTTTGTCCCGTTGGATATTGTAATTTCTACATAAATAAATAAAATAAATATGAAAATTAAAAAATATTCCAAAAACTATCGTATTCATGTTATATCCTGTAGTTAACAATACACTTTCAAGGACAGACGTTAAAATCTCCTTAGGACTAAGACTGGGTTAAGATTCATATTCCTTTTTCTCGCACTAAATGACGTCCTGAACTAGCGGAGCAGAAAAAACAGTTTAAAACGTTTATTTTGCGTGCTAAAATTAATTATTTACTTCCAAGAGATTTTTAATATTATCACTGCGTGATTATAGTATCAATGCAGCCAAAATCCATCTATTACAGAGATTAGTGGAGCAGACGAAATGAAAACAGTATAGGTATGCTATTCTCCATACAGCCATGGTGAATTACAGGTTGCCTATACAGAGCAGATACAAAAGAATTATGTACGTTTTCTTTATAATATGTAATTTGAAAAATCATAACTTCGCCGATTAATTTAAAAACCAGAAACATTTTTAAGTTTTTATTTAAAAAAAATTACTGTCAATAACATTATTACACATTACAAAATATAATTCACTCTTTCCCTCTGTACAACCCGATCAGCAAATTATTTTTATTTGTACAACTAGTGGGTTGCAATTTCCCTAAATGTACCTTATAATCACAACTCTGAGCGAACAACCTCCTGTCCGTATCGACAATATCCATGCACAGGTAACCCTGCTTCGTTTTCGCGTTATCCGCCTCGTGAGTTTGATCCGCAGCATGCGCCAGGCTCAAGTAATTTTTATACCCTAAATCCAGCTTCTGGAACTGTTTACTCCGGGGGTACTTCAGGTGGTGACAATCCTTAATTCCGCCGTAACAACACGGACAAACCACGAAATGAGCATTTTTTTCGACGCAGTTCTGAATCACCAAGTCGGTGGCGACGCCGCAGGCGTGTAACGTTACGCCGATATCGAAATCGCCACAGAAGTAATCGAGATTTGACTGAACGGCGATAACGTTTCCCAGTTCGAGCTTGGCCACCCTTTCCCTCGCCCTCGAAAGCGAACATTCCTTGTTCTCGACTAGCACCACGTCACAATTCGGAAGTAACACCGCCAGAAGGATACCCAGATGTCCGCTGCCGCTACAAAAATCCACGATTCTGTACCGTTTATTTCCGGCGATTTTAACAACGGCTTTCACGAGGTTTTCTAGTTGCTCCTGCTTGCGTTTCGCTCGTTTTTCGGGCAAGGCGCCACCGCTAGGGTTCGCTTCTAGCGGTATTTCGGACCAATCGAAAGCTAAGTCGTGCCCGAACGGTAAAATTTCATTAACGATTTCGTTCTCTAACGGACTCACTGCTTTCACAGCCACGTCGATGTCGTTTTGTTTCGTATAAATTCGTTTCTCGGGTCGGTATCTACTCGGATCCGCAGTGTACAAGCTGTGCTTCGCAAAACGAGGCTCCACGATTTCATTCGTTTTTATCGTAGTCGACGTTAACATAAATTTCAATGTAGGTAAATCGCACCGCTCCATTCGTCGAAACCACTCAATCGTTAAAGGGATCTTATCTCGAAGCAAATCAAGCGGACACTTACTAAAGAAAATCTTGTAACAAGGAAACAAAATAACATCGGCTAACGTCATCGTCATTCCTTCGCCGTACGAGTGAGTTAAATTCAGTTCTTGGATCGGTATGCTCGAATTTATATCTTTATCGTTATTCCTCTCCCTCGCAGCTTTGTAAACGTTGTGCATTCTAACGGGTTTGGACATGTGGAACTCGAACCGTGCCACGTCTTCCGGCAGGTAGAACTTGCGGTCCACAAAATATTCATCGAGGATCAATTTTTTTGCTGTGGAAATGGCGTCCACCTCGCAAAACCTCGTCCAGACCGAACTCTCCGAACATGCTAAGAGACACGCTTCCCTAAAACCCAGTAACGCTCTAACTTGGGTTTTCTCACTTTTCTTTACCAAAAGTCTCGCTACGGAGCACAGCCCGGCGGCGACATTTTTCTTACTAACTATTATAGGCCAAACACAACAAGACGTTACTTCTGGTAAACTCGTCAATGATTTATAGTTAATGTTAGACAGATCAACGATTACTGTAGGTTCGGATGGAACTTGTGAACAAAACTGAATGACTAGCTGTACTTTTTCTGTATCAATTAATTTGTAAATGAAAAGCGTTATGAGAGTTTCGATACCAACGGAACTATTCGCCAAATCCTCATAAACTTTGATGAAGAGACAGTCCATTGTACCCAGGAATATGGAGATCTTAAAAAATGTTTAATAATTATTTTAAAAAATATACAAAACACTTCCGTACCTTTTTATACACAATTCGCCAACTGTCGTTGAACCCTCTGCAACATCCGCTTGTTCAAAACTTTCTTCCTTGAAATCACACACAGCGTGGAGAAAATACTTGCAACAAACATACACCCTTGAAACCTCCAAAACGTTTGTTCGTCGTAAAATGCAGCTCGGTCACAACTACGTGTTACAGTCTCACCATTGGCACATTTCAGGACTTCCTTGTAGTGGGTATGAATACAAACCCCAGTAGTTTTGCTGCGCAGCTCAAAATCTAAAATGAAGACAATCTTATCGGATTCCACTTACACACTCAAAGTAAAAACTAACCTGAACAGGGTTCGCAGTCCTTAATCACTTCGTATTTCTCTTTCTCCGAGCATGAAGAATTCTGCTCAACGACGAAGTTCTGTTTTCTTATGTGCTTGTTACTTTCAGTCCAATGAGATTCAATAATTAAGACGAGTACTGTTAATCTACAATAAGCTTATTTGAGGTTATACACGTAGAAATATTTGACACAAATACTTACATCCCTAAAACTGATATTCCTAGGGCCATACGCTTTTTTGGGCACGACTCGATCATTTTCTTAAAAAGTCAGTCTCATCCAGTGTGTTCACATCAAACATAAATTTATGAAATCGTGGAAAAAAATTTGCACTATGAATGAACGGGAAAAGAAAACCATAAAACCATTGACGGATAATATAGAAAGATATGCAATATTTGAGATGATGTGAGAAAACAAGAGCTGCGCCCTCTGGCGGAATTAGTGAAAGAAAAAACGATAAAATATATACAAACCCTAGGGTCTTACGCAAAATTGTGGTATTTACTTTATTTAAAGTTAATTATCTCCAAGATAATGGAGTTTACCCTAAGAAAAACTGCTAATGCTAGAAGTACATACATCAGTTTGTAGTGTATTTGGACTCAAACATTTCCTTTCATTATTTTACATTTTGAGATGAAAAATTTGAATGTAGGTACTTTAAAGGACAATCTCATTATTACTGTAATTTATTTTTCGCCAGCAGAATGCAAAATTGTCTAAAAAACTTAAGCTTCGGCTTTTTTTATTATTTATAAATAGCACTAACATATTGTTAAAGAGAAGTGAGAAATTGGCAAGATGCGCAATAGTGTATGCCTCATCTATTTCTTCTTACATGTATGATAAATACAAACAGATTGTGAGGTTAGGATTTATCATTTACCTGCAATCCGCATCATTTTCTGAATTGGACTACTGCTATGGGACCTCCTTTAATAGTACCTATCCATAACAGATATCGCTTGTCTATGATTGTCTTTGGACTCTTTGGTCTAGTAAGAAAGTAAATAATTTCACATCGATTTTGTTCAATTCAAATTTGTGCTGGATGATTGTATGATAATAATTATTAATTGCAGGTATAGAATAAAATGCATGAAAAATAGAAATCATTTATTAAATAACTTACTAATAAAAAAGTAAAAAAAAAATAAATACATTAAATAAATAATACTTATACAACAAATAATAATCACAACCACGAGAAAACAATATGGAAAACAACAATTTACAGACGACCCATCCATGAATCGAATATCAGCCCGCCTGCGTAACTACTTTTTGGAAATCTACGTATTCTCTTTTGTGGATAAAATAGCATTCTTCTTATTCGAAACCTATCGTTTTCATTTTCTGCGCCTATGGATCTTTTCGAGATTCTCTCAAAAGCTGGCAACTCGAAAGAACTTCTACTGGCCACTAAAGCTTCCAACGACCTTTTGGAAATCTTTTCTGGCGCTAGTAATGCCAATAAATCTTCCACATCTGGTTCTACAGATCTTTTTGAGATTTGTTCGAAAGCTGGCACCTCGAAGGAACTTCTACTGGCCACTAAACCTTCCAACGATCTTTTGGAAATCTTCTTTGACGATGGCAATTCCAATAAACCTTTGCCAATCGCTGCTACAGACCTTTTCGAAATCTTCTCAAAAGCTGGCAGCTCGATGAAACTTTTACTGGACACTAAACCTCCTAAGGACCTCTTGGAGATCCTTTCCGATGCTGGCAATTCGACCGATCCATCTTCTTCAATCGCGGCACCCAAAGACCTTTTGGAAATCCTCTCGTAAGCTGGCAACTCGATGTAATTGTCCCTAACCACAGCACCTACGGATCTCTTCTCTATCTTCTCAGCATCACTCACTGTTATGCTCTTGGCTTCTGTACCCAAAAGGCACAGTACTATCACAAATACTACTTTTACGATCATCTCGGAGCACTGATTTTGCTAGCTGTTTAGTACGGCTACTGGTTTGGTATGAAGATTAGGGGATGTATTTCCTTTATATAGCTGGAGAGGCTACAACTGTTTACGTTTCTCGAAATACTATATAATTTTCAGTTGACGCACGACGTTCTAGCTAAGGAGTCGGGTAAACAAAAGAACAGAACAGTGCTAAGTGGAACTGCAAACAAATCTAAAAAATATGTTGATTCTGTGTAGCTTAGACCGCTGCATATACGACTATATATAGTAATGCGTACATTGTTCGAGAAAATTGAACAATATTTGCTAAATATTATGCAGATAATCGTCGGTAATATGGAAATTAGTCCGTTGTTTGCTTGTCGATTAGGAACATCAAACGTGACAAATTTAACGAAATACTTTGTTTATTAATAGAAATAGAAATGTGCATCATTGAGCACTTAGCACTTTTATTGTTGATCTGTTAAATCTAGATTATAGATTATTACTGAAAAGGCGCATTAATTTTTTATTTACACACTGAAAAATGCTGCTTAGTTTCTAATCTATCTGCTCTGCACCCTAAACGTAGAACAACTCAATTTTTTTATCACTTCAGGAATTTAACTTAATATCCTCAATTTACATACATCTTGAGATGCCTCTCGAGAGGAGATATTTGGAGCTTTACCGAGAGCGACATGGGCAAACCTATTCTAGGACCACAATCGTAAATAATGAGGAATTAATTGATAAAAGTTGATTAACAATCAATCAATAACAATTTGACGTTAACTGAGCCCCCTTCAAATCTAATTCTTTAGAAGAAAAAACTCGGATTTGTGAGCTGAAAGATATTACGTTCTATGTGGTCTATCTATTTAAAAATGTACCTATACTTTAAAGATATAACAAAAACATTGCATTCAATTAGATAACAAGATAATCCTTAAATATATGGTGTACCAATATTCCGTGCTAATATAGGTACCTACCAGTTTCCTGCGAGCAAAGTAATCAGATTCAACTAAACTGTTGCTCCCGTTCGAGGCTAGAAAGCATCAAAATTGAAAAAAAAAATTGTTTTTTTCAAATAAGGTTTTAAGTTTTGTAAGGTTTTATTCAAATTTGGTACACTAATAATATAACATATTAAACGATATAATTGGATTAATCGAAATGTGAAAAATATCCCCTTCCTTGAATTAATCTGCTTATAATTTCGTCTAAAATATCGAATAAAAAAAATCCAGGTTGCAAATTTGAAATTAAAAAAAAAATTATAGATTTCAATGTATTGTTATGGAATCTACCATGAAAAAAATCAGTACGATTGTGGAAGATGCTCGGGATCGTCCAGACTAATAATTGGTTAATTTGTTTATAAGGCCATAACTTGTAAACTATTCAACTTACCGATTCCAGATTTCGTGTGAGTTATTAGACAGTGATAAGAAATGAGAGGATGCGATGCCAAAGCGTTCTGGTAATAATAAAGCAGTTTCTAAATGTTTAATTCAAAAGTCATAAATAAACTTCTGTTTATAACTTTTGATCTAAGCAATATTTTGTTATTGTTTTGCTAGTTTTGTAGGTCTTTTGAAGGCGAAAAAAAGTACTTTACTGTTTTCTCGTTTCAATTTAATGTACAGGGTGTTCAAAAATTTGGAAAAGGTAAAAACAGTGAAGAGTAAAGTACCTTAAATCTTAACGCTACGTGAACAATTAATTGGGAAAAGTTGCTTGGAATTAAATTTTATGTTTAAATATGAAAGCATGGCCTTCTAGTTAATACTCGTCATTTTGGGATATTCTAGGACTAGCCATTCTATTTAAAAAATATTGCTTTATTGAAAAACAGATACATATGTTTGTATATTAATAATTTATTTTTTATATAAGGGGATCAAAAACCTCAAAAACATTAATCAAACTTTTATTTTGAGAACACAGCAGAATCAGTATGTACGCATCATTACAAAACTATTCTAGATGAAGTCCGCCAAGTTTAACACACCTCTCCAATCTTTTTCTAAATGCAGCCTTGGTCGAATGTATCATTTCTTCATTTACTTGGGCAACAGCTTCAATTATCCTGCTTTTCAAGAAATCGACATTGTGTTGCACTGGTTCTCTGTACACTCTTTCTTTCAAGAAGCCCCAAAGGAAATAATCAAGCGGCGAAAAGTCAGGGGACCTTGCTGGCCACCAAATAGGACCATAGCGAAATTGTCTGTTAAGCCAATTACGGATTATAATTGTTGAGTGAGAGGGACATCCTTCTTATTGGAAATACGCTTTTTGTCTATATTCCAAATGTTCTTCTAATTTTGGCCAGAAAAACGAGTCTAGCATCTCCAGGTGCGTATATTGATTTAAATTTTTTTCAAAAAAGTATGGCCCAATTATTTGGTTGAAAGTAATCGCGCACCAAACATTTACTTTTTTGAACCTTTGACTTCTTGAAGGAACTGTAAAGGAAGGATTTTCTTGCGACCAAAAACAACAATTTTGCGACGATACCATTGGTCACAACTAATGTCAAACAATTATTGATAACAATTGCCTTCTACAAATTATTGGTGTTTTGATTATTTCCTTTGGGGTTTCTTGAAAGAAAGAGTGTACAGAGAACCAGTGCAACACAATGTTGATTTCTTGAAAAGCAGAATAATTGAAGCTGTTGCCCAAGTAAATGAAGAAATGATAAATTCGACCTACGCTGCATTTAGAAAAAGATTGAAGAGGTGTGTTGAACTTGGCGGACTTCATCTAGAATAGTTTTGTAATGACGCGTACATACTGATTCTGCTGTGTTCTCAAAATAAATGTTGGATTAATGTTTTTGAGGTATTCGATTCACTGTATAAAAAATAAATTATTAATATGCAAACATGTGTATCTGTTTTTCAATAAAGCAATATTTTTTAAATAGAATGGCTTCTCCGAAAGTATTAAAAAATAAGTAAAGTCCTAGAATATCCCAGAATGTCGAGTATTAACTAAAAGGCCATGCTTTCATATTTAAACATAAAATTTAATTCCAAGCAACTTTTCCCCATTACATTTTCACGTAGTGTTAAGATTTTAGGTACTTTACTCATCACTGTTTTTACCTTTTCCAAATTTTTGAACACCCTGTACATTAATTTGAACAAATGACTATCTTGCCAAGGGCTTCTAGATAAGCAAAAATTTGTATGAAGAATGATTTTTTTTGACAATTGATATTTTGTATCCATTTCAGGTATAGGCAACCCGAATTGGGGACACCCTGTATATCAAATTTTAATCATTTTCCTTGTCAACTTTGACGCCCTCTAGCGTCTAAACGAAGTAATTTAGGATAGAGTTTACTCAAGTCTGCTTATTTTGATCACAAGAAACACACCCTATATATCCAAGTGTGAAATTTAAATTGAAATCCGATCTTCATGTCAACGTTTCCATAAATTTCCAACAGGATGCCGATGATTATAATCGATTTTCTAATGGATTAAGGGTTGAACAAGGATTATCGTCTATTATTCTGTCTTACTTATCGCATTATCTCGACGCATGCTAGATAAAATTCCGAAACAAGGAAAAAACTATAAATATTCGCTCATGATAAAGTTTTGTCACAAACCCGAAGACACTTCTCCTGGGCAATGGCGTCGAAGGCAATTGTACTAACTCTCCTGGCACTCGTGGCTTTGGCCAAGGTAACAACAATTTATTTTTGGTTTTCTTTGGGACTTTTTTAATGATAATTAATTACTTTTACTTCTAGAGCGAATTAGACTATGACAAGGCTTTCCCTATGCCTGATCCAGCGGTTTCACTCTTTCCTTCGCCGCATGGCATTCCTAGTCCAAGGATTGTAGGAGGTGAAGAAGCTGTACCGAACTCTCACCCGTATCAAGTAAGTACCTTTCAGTCTTGTTTAGCTGTGATGAAATGAAATTAACGGCTAGTTGCATTGCAAAAATTTTTTTATATTCGGCAATCCAATACAAAATTTACATTCAAAGAATTTGGTTTGTATTCCTAGATAAAATATTGGAATAGGTAATGAATAAAATTGAAATCAAAAATATTTATATCGGGCATAGTCCCACAGGGTACGGGCTTCTTTCAAGGGACCAGAGGCCTAAAACCGGAAAAATTGTACGACATATGGAAAATTATGAAAAATTAAATGTTTATTACAGTCCAGCTAATAAAGCGTTCTAGACATTTTGTTTGCCCATATAAACCTTATAAATTTAACAAAAATAACTTTCTTCGAAAACTGTTAACAAAAGTGAGTTTTTTCTGTCATCAAACAGCAAAATACTTTTATGTTCTAGAACGCCAGTCTTTTTTGTTCTAGAACATAATGCAAATGTCAAAACAATTTGTAATTTTTTCGAAACATTTATGATTTTATTAATTACAATATACAGGGTGTCTCATAATTAGTGTCTAATAATTTACCACTTGATTCTATTGTCAAAAATAATAATATTTTTTCATATAAACATGGGTCGAGAAATGCTTGCTAAGGGAGCTAAGCCCCCTAAATGGGGCCTCAAAAAATTCATTTTTTTTTAATATTTCCGAAATGGGTTGAAGACAAATTATGAATTTTGACATCGTGAACGCTCATTAAAAGTCGAAATAATTCATTATAAAATTTTAAAAAAATTTTAGTCAGAGGCGTCTCAATTGGGGTGGTCGTCGACTAAAATTTGCCCCAATTTTTTTGCTTGTCGAAATTTTCAAATTCATCTCTTCTCAAAGCTCCACAAACACCAATTATTAAAATGATTTGAAAAGTTGTCCAAAAATATATATTATATTAATTTGAAATACCTTCTCTGGCAAAATATATTAGGCGAGCGGTTCACCCCTAAATAAAAGGCATGAACCGACTAATTTTTTAAAACAAAAACCTACAACATGAAACTTTTTTATTTTATAGTGTATTCTTCTGATAATTTACAATTTCTTTTTTATATTTTTCGGCGTGGTTAGTCGATTGATTTTCCACTACATGAACAAAAATATTTTTGAAGCATATCTAACGCAATTTCTCCTTCGAAATAATTAAAATTCAAATAACCATTTTCAATTTTCCATCCATGTGTCAATGAATCAAGAGTTACAATTTTACTATTTGTAGACTGTTTTTTTTATTCGCTTTAGACCTTCAATAAAATAATTGACCTACACCAACAAAATATAATACGCTTTTTTTAGAATTAAACTGTTCAATAGTTTTTGAGAAAAAAATTCCGAAAGTTTATCGATTTCGTCACTTGTTTCACATCAAATTGAAAATATCTCGGAAACGAAGCATTTTTAGATTTTTTGTAAAAGGACAAAAGGTGTTTATTTTGGTCCCAAAGAACTGTTTTCAAAGTCATTCGGCGAGTAATTTTATTTTTACAACTTTTTTGTTTATAACAATTGACTGACCGCGCCGAAAAATATAAAAAAATATGTAAAATATCAGAAAAATACACTTTATAAAATAAAAAAAGTTTCATGCTGTAGGTTTTTGTTTTAAAAATTTAGTCGGTTACCTTCATTTAGAAGCATCTTTTTAGGGGTGAACCGCTCGCCTACATTATCAGGTTCTTCTTGTAAAAATTTCCCAATTTCCTCTTTCGTTAGAATTTTGGACTTTTTCGGAAGGTATCCAACTGATTTGCTTTTCAAATATGGTATTAGTTTTGGAAATTGTCTAATATTTGCATTTTTTTAGCATTCAGGGTACTTTTTATTATGGAATATACTGACCATAACGTCGAAGGTTTAATTTTATTAATTTTATGGTCGAAATATGCCAGTAATACCGGTTCCGACACTTTTTGAATTTTCTTCAAACTACCACCCTTTGAATTCGTTGTACGCAATCTACGCAATAAAATTCCTTTTTGTATAAGAAACTGGGAACAAATTTATTGGTTTAGACAGTCCGAAAAATTTTTTTTACAGATTTTTATTGCCAGTTCAATATTTCGGATCTGGATAACTAATGTTGATATGATTGAAACCTGATAGACTTTGTCTTTCCTCACCCACGTCTGATTTTCAGGTAGGACTTTTCCTACCCGTCGCCCAAGGACTGAGTTTCTGTGGTGGATCCCTGATCACGGAAAAGACCGTTCTCACAGCTGCTCATTGCGTTGACAGGTAAGTCAAGTCTTTATGTCTTTAGCAAGATTCTGTAGGCGACATCAGTTATGTAATGAGCCGAACTTACCGTGTCTTTAGCCTTGTTGCACCTGTCGAGGTAGTACTTGGAGCCCATCGCATCAGAGAAGAAGAAAGTACGCAAGTAAGAATCACTACAAATAATATCGTACTTCATCCTCAATGGGACCGTGATCTTATAAGGAACGACGTAGCCGTTGTCATTCTACCACACCGTGTCACGCTCAACGGTAAGAGTTTTTTTTTTTTTTGATATCCATAATTGGAAATAAATGTGTCATCCATGTACCTACATTGGGTTGTTACAGCCTTAGGATTGGATCCTTTCCGCTTTAGCTTTTAATTCTGAATATTCCAGCTAACATCCAGACCATCAGACTGGCAACAGGTTCCGATGATTTTGCGGGACAGCAGGCCATTGTAAGCGGATGGGGAAGGGACTCGGACAATTCCCAAGCCATTTCACCAGTTCTAAGGAAAGTTGAAGTGCCCGTTATCACCAACGCTGTTTGCAACATCGCTTTCTTCGGAGTTATTCAGAGCAGCAACATCTGCACGTCTGGGCTTGGTGGAAGATCCACTTGCAACGGCGATTCTGGTGGTGCCTTGGTAGTTGATGGTGTACAGGTAAGTTCTTGTATTCGGAATATCAGGATTTAAGCCTTAATGAACAGCAAAATTATTATGACTAATTATGACGTATTGTGACACAAATGTGTATGCCTGCAGATGTCTCGAGTTAAGGGATTAAAGACTCGATTCCTCAGAGTACAGAAGACATCCTCGCACAGACTGTGACTTAAATCACTGTTCATCTGCGGAATATAAGCCTGCACAAAAGAGATAATCTGCAACATGGTTCTCCATCACTGTCGTCATCAAAAACAGCTTCCATGTCACTCTCATCAGTCAAATCAACAGTCTTCTTTTTCTTTGTCATTTTTCACATTTCTACAACCTTTGTCGCTGTTGCAACTTTGCTGTTTTTTTTTGTAGAATCTTCTTTTTTACGTTTCTAATCTAAACTCCCTTTTAAGTCATACTTACTTGGCATCACAGCAACACTTCCAGCATTTGCACTGGGCTTTTTGAATTTCCCAGACGTGGTTTCTAAGCGACTTCAGTGTCACTAGAATCTTTTGAAGTTTCCAGACGTGGATGCTTTGAAGTTACTGCAGATGTCTCCTCAAGGCAGTATTGAACTAACACATCCTCGATACCTTTGCCCAGAGTAGGCTTTCTACTAAGTGTTCAAATTTAACTAGTAAAAAACTCGTCGGAGTGACTTTCGTAGAACTTTACTTTAAACATTTGATGAAATGAATTCGGTGCCATCTAGTAGACATTATTCTGTTTACTTGTTAATGTAATGAACGTCAAATTATTAAAATCACTTTTTTCAGGTTGGTATTGTCTCCTTCGGAAACGGACTAGGCTGTGCAATTGGATGGCCAGCTGCATACGCCAGAATAACAAGCTTTTTAAGCTGGATTGATTCCGTCAAAGTTTAAATTGTAGTTTTTTTTGAGAAAAACATACATGTATATAAAATAAAATTATTTTACCACGACACCCCACTACTTTTATTATATCCATTTGCAACGAATTTAGATAGGTAGTTAAAAAAGTAAACAATGGAGATTGCATTAGATAACAACAGAAACTGTTAGTTGACTGATTTATAATCACCTTATCTTGATCAGACGTACAAAGTCGCCTTTTCAAAGAAACAGATGGATAGCGATAGTGCGTAAAATAAGAGGCTATACAGAGTGTGGCGTGCATAATCTAAAAAAATTAAACTACAGCTTCCTGATGATATTTGTAATAGAAAAGTCTTATACCAAAAAGTTCTATCTTCGCGTTTTTTCTTTTGTAAATTAAAGTTCATTTATTCAACGAAAATTAAGACCGACCCTGTGTTATTTATTGAATCTTTGGAAATGGTTTTATGCGACCCCAGATGCAACCTTATAATTGAAATCGGTATAATCTAATGCTAGTAATACTAAAAAGAGGTTAGGTTACATTGTCAAAAAATGTGTGCAGTCAACTGATTTTGTATTTGTATTGAATTCATTATTCACTTAATTATTAAATACTAAGCATCGTCCATCGACCCATCATTGTTAAAAATTGAAAGATTCGAGACAAAAGTTTTTATTTTGTAAATCCACGATAGTGGACTGTAACTTTTATCAAGAAGTAAAAAATAAGAATAGCGTGCCGATTACATTAAAAACGAGATTCTTATTTCTTACTTCGCTTAATTTTTTAGTTTGTGCACAAACTAGTTTTACAATGAACCGAGGAAACAATGCATTTACTATTTCCGAACGTGTCTATATGATATTTAGTCCAAGAGAATTAAACTCAAAACCTTCGAGATATGGCTGTTGCTTGATGTAACTTGGATATTAGTAAAAATCGGTCGAAAATAATATACCTATACAATTAAAATATAAAGTTGCGCCAAGAAAAAAACTTGTGCTATTTGCAAAAAAAATGACGTGTTTTTTCTAACATTTTCCAACATAACTTCTTAAATATGCAGTTTACAGAAAAAACTATTACTGGTGAAATTGTTTGTTATGAAATTTGCTACAAGATAGAATTGTTTTGATACCTGCGCATATCATATTTTTGTTGCTAAATAGCCAAAACAACGTAAGAAAGTGATGAAAATCGAGGTAATTTGGAAGCGTCAAACTGACAGGCAAGAAATTGTCCAATTCTACTATAAATGTAAATGTAAGTACTTTAAACGATTATAAAGCGAAATTCCAAAACCCGATCCAAATCGGTCTGATAGTAATGGTATCAGACAATTTGTTACTAAATTTCAGCGCGAAATGTCGTTATTTTTTTACGTGAGGGCTGGGGTCAAAGTTAGGCATTTTAATCTGCGCTGATTTTTTTACATCTACTTGGACCCCTTAACAATCATATAGAATCGTTAGAATATCAATTTTCTTTTTTTGAATAATTTTTGTAGCGAATTTAAAAGTTAGAAAAATTTTAACTTTATAAACAATTACTTTCGTGAAGCGGTTTTGCGGGTTGGAAAATATACCAAAGTACTAAAAAACAGTTCTCGGAAAGACGCTTAACTTGAAAAAAAGAATGTTCAAATCGGTCGAATAAGTTCCGAGATATCGAGTGTCAAAGTCAACAAGCGTTAGCTGCAAAACTATGCATAATGTAACAACAAAATATGAATTTGGTAGGTTTTTTAAGAATTTTTCGTATGTACTTTTATAAATATTATCACAAGTGTGCTTTTTTATGAAAATTCAATGAATACCGTCAAGCCGACCATTTGTGCCGCAAAACCGAGGGGAGGGGACGAATGGTAGAAATTGAAATCGCGCATTCAAAAAAAGCACGCGCGCTTCGGCGTTCAATATCTCGGCTTCTATGGCTCCGATTTTGATGATTTTTTTTTAATGGATAAAACGAAATGAGAGGAATTCAATTATCAAGATTTCATTAATATATTATAAAGCCCTTTTATAAGTATTCCTGTAAATAATAATATCGATGGTAGGATATAGGAACATAATCCACTGTTAATTGGTATTAGTTTTAATAATTACGTGGTAATAATGTTTAAATAAAATCTTGAAATTTTTATTTAATATGTAATTTATTTATTGTATGCATAGAAATCATAGAATATAGAAAAAGATATAGATACAAATAATTATTTATTTATGTTTATAAAACGTGTTTATTATATTTTCATTATCACCGTATTATTAAAGTTTTTCACTTTTTTACATCATTGCCTGTTTTCAGTTATAATATCAGCATTTGAATAAGTACCGTTTTCCATTATTTTCAAATCAGTGTTTAACTAATTGTAAGTAGGTACCACTGTCAGATTAACAGCAAATGATGACTTATGGTTGGTTAATTTGATTTTTTAAATTTGCTAGCAATTTTATAGCCGTCCTCGCAAGAAATTGGATCATTTTATTTATCACAAAAACCGTCGAAACAGAAAAATTAAAAGATAGGTATATGGAGATGTAATATGGACATATATAGAGTAAATTTTTCCAACAGATTTTGATTAAATAAATTTTTGATTAAATATACAGGGTGTCTAATTTAGAAAAACCAAGTTTTGACGGTTCGGTCAATCAAATGCGACAATAAATATGAAACTGAAATAGGTGGAAGACCATTAGACCATTAGAGATGAATATTGGGAAGCTTTATAAAATTCCCCTAAAATTACGCGTAGAATCCAAATATGCAAAAATATATAGGATGTTCCAGTTATAATAAGCAAATAGGTGGGGCGACTACCGGTATAACCGGAAGTACTACAACAATGGCATTATTTTATTTAAACTTTTTTTAAATAAAACCTCCAAAACCACTAGGTCCCAAATTTTCAAAATTCAAATCGAGGTAGTCTCCGAAATATTCTAATGGGCCGTCACCGTATGACAGCTTGTAGGAGAAAATTTTGAGAGCGAAAACAGCAACTATGCTGTAAAAAGCGTTTTATAAATATCAAATAAATAAATTATATATTCAATAAAAATTTCAAACATTATTACGAATTAAAACTAATAACTATTAACAATGGACTATGTATATCTACCATCGATATTATTATTTACATGAATATACAGCAACAATGAAATGTGTGTAATTTTAAGTAGTCGTAATAGGCTGATAGGGCTTTATAATATTTTAACGAAATCTTGATAATTGAATTCCTCTCATTATGATATATTGATTTTAAAAAAATCATCAAAATCGGAGCCGTAGAAGCAGAGATATTAAACGTCGAAGAGGGCTCGCTCTTTTTGAACGCGCAATTTCAATTTCTATCATTCATCCCCTCCCCCCGGTTTTGCGGCTCAAATGGTCGGCTTGGCGATATTTATTGAATTTTCATAAAAAAAGGCACACGTGTGATAATATTTATAAAAGCACATACGAAAAATTCTTAAAAAACCTACCAAATTCATATTTTGTTGTTACATTATGTATAGTTTTACAGCTAACGTTTGTTGACTTTGACACTCGATATCTCGGAACTTATACGACCGATTTGAACGTTCTTTTTTTCAAGTTAAGCGTCTTTCCGAGAACTGTTTTTTAGTACTTTGGTATATTTTCCAACTCGCAAAACCGCTTCACGAAAGTAATTTTTTATAAAGTCAAAATTTTTCTAACTTTTAAATTCGCTCCAAAAATTATTCAAAAAAAGAAAATAGATATTCTAACGATTCTATATGATTATTAAGGGGTCCAAGTAAATGTAAAAAAAATCAGCGCACATTAAAATGCCTAACTTTAACCCCAGCACTCACGTAAAGAAATAACGACATTTCGCGCTGAAATTTAGTAACAAATTGTCTCATACGAATACTATCAGACCGATTTGGATCGGGTTTTGGAATTTCGTTTTATAATCGTTTAAAGTACTTACATCTACATTTATAGTAGAATTGGACAATTTCTTGCCTGTCAGTTTGACGCTTTCAAATTACCTCGATTTTCATCACTTTCTTACGTTGTTTTGGCTATTTAGCAACAAAAATATGATATGCGCAGGTATCAAAACAATTCTATTTTGTAGCAAATTTCATAACAAACAATTTCGCCAGTAATATTTTTTTCTGTAAACTGCATATTTAAGAAGTTATGTTGGAAAATGTTAGAAAAAACACGTCATTTTTTGAGTATTTTTGTATTTTTAAATTTTTTCTGCAAATAGCAGAAGTTTTTTTCTTGGCGCAACCTTATATTTTCATTGTATATATTATTTTCGACCGATTTTTACTAATATCCAAGTTACGTCAAGCAACAGCCATGGCAATGTGTAATTCTCCTAGACTAATTAGTGTATGGTGCAGTCGGAGAAAATGCGCTCGCGACGACTAGGTTGTACCAGGAACATCGTCACCATCGTGCAAATACAATCCTACAGAGCGTTCAGCGGCTGCGAGATACGGGAAGTGTTATTCCTCGAGGAGAAAGACGTCATATGATATATTTAACTTATTTTAGAAGTACTAAATATAAAAATATTATATCATAAAAATGTCGCACTTCCGGCACATCCGGAAAATACCGCATGCCCAAAATTTTAAATCGATATATTTTTTCGTGCCTAAGCTAGAGCCTGAGTAGTAATCTCGTGGTCACCCGGTATATAAATGGTAATTTTTCAGTATCGATGGTCCTGTAGAAGTTGTGGTTAGGGGTCACGTATTCGATCACCTGAGCCACATCAAGTCAGAGTAAAATCTTCAAACATAATCATCCATCAAGATTTCGAGGGAACCTCTCTAAACGACATTGCTGTGGTCAGGTTGCCTGAACCAATCAAATTTAATGGTAAGAGAAACTAAACGAACCTTTTCTAAATTCAACGTACTGAGGATTGTAACTTTCATGAGGCTTTCTAAGGCTGATTTGACGTTTCGAGGGACATATCGCTCTCTTCTTCACTGATACGGCTTGAGAGATGTGACACGGAAACTGTTTAATCCATGATGATTGTATTTTTCAGAATACATTCAATCCGTTGCACTCCCAAAGGACAACAACACCAACTACGAAGAAAGTAAAGCTTTAGTAAGTGGGATGGGATTTCTGACTATATCTGTGAGATGTCTCCGACTCTGAGAGTGACCAAGGCCTCCATTGTTTCCAATTTCGGTTGCTAGGTCACGTATTTGGGTGATGTAGATGGAAATAAGCTTTGCGTAAATGGTAGATCCACTTGCGTGGGAGATTCTGGTGATCCTCTGGTCATTGAAAATGTTCAGGTATAATACATATAAGAGATAAAATGTAAGGGATTTCTGTAAGTTTAATTGAATATTTCCTGAATTTCAGGTGGGTTTTGTGTCTTTAAGGAACGTATTGATGTGTGAATATGGTTGGCCTTCGGCATATCCTCCTCTTTATTAAATGCAATGTACACAAATTTCAGAGCAGAAGTCAGTTTCATACTTATGACACCAGAAATAAGAATGACCTTAATAATAAATATTGTAGACTATTGAGAACGCGGAAGGGGACTGAGTATACTGGAATAGAATTTTTTAATGCACTTCCTCCCGATATAAGAAACCTAAACTCAAGGCAATTTAAAAAGAAAATAAAGAAATATCTGTTGAGTCATGCTTTTTATACTTTCGCAGAATATTTTAATAGTGATTTTATAATATAGTGTGTAAACAATTTTTTTAATTATTTTCTTGTATTGTTTTGTTTATTTATGTCATTTTATCATTAGTTCTTCATAGAACATGACTTTACCTTTGTTCTGACGTGTGTAAGCACTTTTGTGTATGTAACACGAAAATTGGAAAAATAAATAAAAATATACCAGAGTTGCAGGCTTTCTCGACTGGATTCACGATAATGCTCTGTAAAATAATATGTATAATATCTGAATAATTGTAACATTAATTATTTGAAGTTAGCACGATAGTATTATGGTATTTTCTAAAAGTCCAACCAATTTACACTTGGAGAAAAAAAAAATAGTTACCTGGACTTTTATAAGTGGAAATGGTAAAAGGGCTTATAATAAACCTAAAAAAAAATAAATGCGTGAGCAGGGGCGGCGGAGGGTTGATTTGGGGAGTTGAAAAGTTATGAAAAATTGTATCATTGGGATTTCTGGCGAAAGTTGACGTCAAACAAAAAAATATCATTTCTGCAAAAATAATTTAATTTTGACGAAACTTGGTGAAAGTATACCTTTCTCTGTCTTAAATAACCTCAAATTTTTTTTGATAAAAAAATCAAGAAGTGTCCGAGTTATTCATTATTTTCGGCCTGAAACACTTTTTTTTCAAAGAAAAATTCTACTTAAAAAAATCAGAGTTCCGCCGGTAATCAATTTTTTCGTTTTGGTATATACTTTTTGGTGAAATAAAAAAAATCTGTAATAACATTTCAAAAACATGCTCAAAAATGCAAAATAAATAAAAAATGACTTGCAACATTGAATTTTTCAGTTATTGTTGATAATTTGTAATAAATTAAAGACGATTCAAAAACTGATTACACCATTCAATTCTACGGAAAAAAAATAAAAAAAAAACTGTGTCTCATTGTTTGACCCAAAACTTTATTTTTGTACAGTATTGCTATAAACATCTAAGTCGAATTAGAAATGCACAAATGATAAATTATCTCAGGATGATTTGAGATTTTAGCAATACAAAATATTAACTGCAAAGTCTACTGCTAACGCGAAATCCGAAAACCCGAAATTTTGCAAAATCGTTTTATTTTTTTTCTGGCTTGATTTGAAAATTAATTTTAATTAAATTGTATATTTACATTGCCACTTTTTTCGCTCTATCCAATGGCGACAACATTTTTGCAATCCGACGTTTCGTCTTCGACGGGCCATCATCAGATTAATTTTTTTAAATATATCGCTGCTATTTTTATGACAAAATCTAGTCATTTTTAATTCTGTATTAGATGATATTAATCGCTTAAAAAGGTTTTTAATTTTTCCTGAGTTCAGCTCTGAATGCTTTCAACATACCTGTATCTATTGGAGAAGAGAGAGACAGGAGAGAATACAAGTCAATACAGCACAAAATATTCAATAATTTTTTTAATCCATAATTTAAAAAATTGTACCTAATAAAAAAATAATACGAATTTATGAAATATTTTATTATTTCTAATTATAGTATTACTAACAGTAGTAAAAAAATTGTTGGATATTTTGTGCGGTATTGACTTTTATACTGTTATAACTTCATCCAATAGAAAATTTTAAGTTATAGCTAAAACAAACTAAAAACTTTTTAAGCGATTACAATAGTAATATCCTCTAATTCAGAATTAAAAATGACTTAACTAGATTTAGTCATAAAAATAGCAGCGACGTATTTAAAAAAATTAATCCGATGATGGCCCCTCGAAGACGAAACGTCGGATTGCAAAAATGTTGATGCCATTGTATAGAGCGAAAAAAGTGGCATTGTAAATATTTAATTTATTTTAAAATTCGTTTTCAAATAAAACCAGAAAAAATTAAACAATTTAGCAAAATTTCGGGTTTTTCCGGATATTTCCGGAACTACCCGGAATTTTAAAACTTTCTAAACAGCATATTGTTAGGTATAAAAAAACACAATTTTTTTCTAATCTAAGCCACCCCGTATCTCTTACCGTTTCCTAGATCCTAATGCTATCCCATCCTTATCTTGGACACACTGTATATCCATGAATTCATCAAACTTTTAAAAAAATAAGTACACTAATCGATCCTATGGAAAAAATATTATTATTTATGTTATTTAGTCACTATTCGACTTAAGTTTATATCAATACTGTATAAAAATAGTTTTGGGTCAAACAATGAGACAGTTTTTTTTTTGTATTTTTTCCCTACAATTGAATGGTGTAATCAGTTTGTGATTTTTTTTTAATTTGAACAAATTATCAACAATTACTGAAAAATTCATTGCTGCAAATCATTTTTTACTTTTTTGCATTTTTGAGCATGTTTTTGAACTGTGATTACAATTTTTTTTATTTCACCAAAAAGTATATGTCAAAACGGAAAAATGATTACAGGCAGAACTCTCTACCATGATTTTTTTAAGTAGAATTTTTCTTTGAAAAAAAGAAGTGTTTCAGGCCGAAAAAAATGAATATCTCAGAAACTTCTTGATTTTTTTATCTAAAAAAATTTGACGTTATTTAGGACAGAGAAAGATATACTTTCACCAAGTTTCGTCAAAATTAAATTATTTTTACGGAAATGAGAAATAAAAAACGAAAAATCAGAGAAAAACCAGTTTTTCGCATTTTTCTCGGAAATTTTGAGGTTATGTTAAAAAATGACCTCTATAAAAGTTGTAGATTTTTGCATGATCTACAACTTTTGTATTAGATACTTTTTTGTTTGACGTCAACTTTCGCCAGAAATCCCAATGATACAATTTTCATAACTTTTCAACCCCCCAAATCAATCCTCCGCCGCCCCTGCTCACGCATTTATTATTATTTTTTTTTTCGTTTATTATAGGCCCCTTTACCATTTCCACTTATAAAAGTCCAGGTAACAATTTTCTTTTTTTTTCCCCTCTAAATGAGTTATTTTGATCGGTCTATAATGTTGATTACTATATCTACATTTTTTTCTAGATATATAAAACCTAACACTGTCTATAAGGAAATTGTCTATTTCCTTATTATCTTTATATTTATAAAGATCATGTTTATGTAAAAGAAATTTTATTACTAGTAATCAATATTTTATATTATTCCAATTATTGATATATTTATATCCTAATTGTTTGGTTAAGGCTTAAATGTATTAAATGTGTCTGATCCCTTTGTGTTCGATATGAAAAATTTTGAAGTCTCAACGATTAAACCCATCTCTCCTTTTTCAAACAATCAAATTCCTCTAATCTACTTGTTAAAAAAAGACAACTTATCACATCACATACTGAAGGTTATTAAGGAAAGATTACAGAAAAAATATAAAAGCCCCTCCAAAAAAAAATAATAACAATTAAGTTGTTGTACTCCATTCAAGATGAGAGCAGTGATCACGTGCCTTTTGGTCTTCCTCACTTTAGCAAAGGTAACATTTACATTTGTCAAGTGAAATTTTCTGTATTGAATCTATATTCTGCGTTTGTGTAGGCTGACATCGACTGGGACAATGTTTTTCCCAAACACATAAAAGAGTATCCTCATGGTAGTCTTCCACATGGGATTCCAAGCCCTAGGATTACGGGGGGAGTAGAATCTCTGCCTAATTCTCATCCATATCAAGTAAGTTCACCCATAACACAAAGAACAGTTGTTGGTCTAACATAAACATTAAATCAGGAGATAATTGGTTAAAAATAGTAGGTCAGTATTTGTAAAGAAAAGGAAACCAGCTCTACGAGTTTATCTTATTTTTTTTTACTTTAGGTAGGCCTTTTCATACCAGTCAGTGGTGGTACTGCTTTCTGCGGTGGTACCCTCATCTCGAAGCAGACGGTCCTCACAGCAGCACATTGCGTAGACAGGTAAGGATTTCTAAGTAGTAATAATAATAATAATCTTTATTTCAAAGATATGCCCCTACACATTGTAGATGTAAAACAAGCACGAAAATGCAAGAAAGACACATAAATGAAACGACGTCAAAAATTGCACACTATACACATACAAATGTTACTTAACACAATAATATACACTCTTTACAATTTCGGCAACTGCTAAAATTACAAGTCTCGTGCCTCTAAATATTCATTCAAATTATATGGCTCCAATTTAGTCAACATTAATTTAATGTGTTTTTTAATCTATGCTTGTTAAAGTCTTAAAATGCAAAGGTAATTTATTAAAAAACTTTATACATACATAAAAGGAATTTTTTTCTGTCAACGGCAAGTTATGTTTTGGATATGTAATATTTATAGTACTTGTATCATACCTATGATTGGAATTATTAATTGTAAAACTAGTTTTATTCTTAAATGTATACAAAAGACATTCATAAATATATAGTCCATATATTGTCAAAATATTATTTTGTTTGAACTTATTCCTACATGATTCATTATATGCTATTTTATATATGATTCTGATAACTCTTTTTTGTAACACAAAAATTTTTTCAATACTTGAGTTACCCCCCCAAAATATTATTCCATACTTGCAACACGATTCAAAATTTGAGAAATATAATATTCTTAAACTTTTTATATTCAAATATCTACTTGTTATTCTAAAACCATAACAAATTTTATTAAGTTTTACACATAAATACTCTATTTGATTTCCCCATGTTAGATGTTCATCTATTAAAATTCCAAGAAACTTAGTATAATCAACGAAAGCCATTGAATCATCTGCAATATCTACATTTCGAGGTGTGTCAATTTTAGCTTGTTTTGTTCTGAAAAGTATTATTTTAGTTTTATCTTTATTTAAAATAAATCTGTTTTTTTTATACCACTCTCTTGTGGCTGAAAATAAATTATTTCCCTCCTCTATTAATTCAGGATAAGTATCTGCCCCCACAAGTATGTTATTATCATCTGCATAATTGGTTATACTTTGATTGGAATTTATAGAAACATCACATAAATCATTAATATATATAATAAATAAAATTGGTCCAATTACACTACCCTGCGGTATACCAATATTAGTGTCCAGTATTTCAGATTTTACAAATTCTGCATTCGATCCAATGGCTACTCGCTGACGACGATTACCAAGATAACATTCTACCCACTTAAGTGCATTACCCCTAATTCCATATGTTTTTAACTTATATAATAGATATGGGTGATATAAGCAATCATAGGCTTTGGATAAATCCAAGAACATTCCCAAAGCAATTTTTTTATTTTCTGCATGTTCCAATATTTTATTAGTAAATTGAAAGATAGCTGTTTGTGTCGATCTTCCCTTAATATATCCATGTTGGGTATTATGGAACAAATTATCAGCATTCATAAATTCAACTAACTGAATACACATTGCCGTTTCAAAAATTTTTGAGAAACTAGGTAAGAGACTAAGAGGTCTATAATTTTCAAATAAATCTGTATCTCCCTTTTTATATAAGGGTTTTATGACTGCAAGTTTTAACTGCTCTGGAAATATTCCGTATTTAAATGAATTATTCAGTATATGGCAAATTACAGTGTTTATCTCACATATACACATTTTGATTATTGCAGCTGGAATTTCATCATCTCCACTACTATATTTATTTTTTATAATTTCAGATATTTTTACAATATCAGTAGGTGTTAGTGATTTTAAATACATCGATTTATTATTATCAGGTATATCACATTGAAATGGAATCATTTTTTCATTTCTAAACAAATTTGGAATTACATCATTTAAGTATTTATTATAATCATTAGCAACATCTAGTAAATTCTGTTTTTTCGGGAAATTATTATATTTATATTTTTTACCAGTTATTTCATCATGTATAGCCCACATGCACTTGTTTTTATTATCTGACTTTAGAATCCTATTTTCATATTCCATTTTCCTACTTTCAATCAAGATATTATTATGTCTCTTTTTCTCATCTTTATACATCTCCTTAAAAATATTACTATTTCTACTTAATACTAATAATATATCTAATCTATTTTTACTCTCTGTTAGTAGTTGATTTTCAATCGTTTTGTGTTTTTTGCTAGGTACTATACTTGTTAATCTTTTTGGAAAACATTCATTAAAAATATTTAAATATGTACCAATAAAATAATTCCACTGTTTATTTACATCTTCATCATTACACCTAAAAACATCATCCCAAGTTTGGCATCTCAATTGTACTAGAAAATTTTCTTTAATCTTTTGAGTATAAAATATTTTGTATATTTTACTATTGTGAGAGTTATAATTTTTAATTTCAAAACAAATTTTTTGCGCCCTGTGATCTGAAATATGTGAATCTAAAACATTTACCCGATATTGATCAATATTAGTTAAAATATTGTCAATGCAACTTTTGCTGTTAGTCGTAATCCTTGTGTAATCGGTAACAGTTAATTGTCTACCAAAGGAATTTACTACAGAAATTAATCGTGATTTATTTTCATTAGCATTTTTCATTTCAATGTTAAAATCACCTGCAATAACCAATAAAACATTTTTTTCAAAAATCGTCGTTAACATTAATTCTAGTTTATCAAAAAACACCTTTAAGCAACCACTGGGTGGTCTGTAAATTACAATGATAATAAGTTTCGATTCATTTAATGAAAATTCAACCGCTGTGTATGTTACGTTATTTAATTTTTGTTGGATTTTAGCGTGACTGGACCAGTGTTGGTGGTCCTTGGGGCACACCGTATCCGTGAAATTGAACCTACTCAAGTTAGGGTCAACTCTTCTGGTATTTATGTACATCCGATGTGGTCTAGCTTGCTAATCCGCAACGACGTCGCCCTAGTAAGGTTGCCCCAGCCAGTTACGCTTAACAGTAAGAGAAAAAAACAAATTTCTAGTTAAAGCATACTTACAATGACCTTATACAGTAAAATTATATAATTGTAATGAAATTTGAGAAGAAACTTCTACTTTTTATCTTTCCAGATGCCATACAGATAATACCACTCGCAAGAGATCCTTCCAACAGTTTCGAGGGTCATCAGGCTCGTGCTATTGGCTGGGGACTTGACTCTGATCAAGCTACAGGTATATCTAACGTTCTGAGGGAAGTAGATGTGCCGGTCATCACTAATGGCGTTTGCAACATTGCCTTCATGGGAACTATTCAGGACACCCACATATGTGCCTCAGGACTTGGGGGAAAATCCACTTGCAGCGGTGATTCTGGTGGACCTCTTATAGTAGGCGGTGTCCAGGTAAGTGCCCTGTTAATTTTCTCTAGTTATTGCTAATGCTGTTTTTTTTTTAGGTTGGAATTGTTTCATTTGGAATAGCTTTAGGATGTGAAATTGGATGGCCATCAGTTTATACCCGTGTTACAAGTTTCCTCGATTGGATTTTACCAAACATCATTTAATACATTATACAAAAAAATTGTTATAAATATTATCATTAATTGTGACATCAATAAATGGAGGTGTATTCTAGAAATATCTTTTAACTATAATGAATCAGTAAATAAGGTATATTTTTAGATTCTTTTTTTTTTTCAATTATCGAATATATCGAATGTTCCTATCAAGTACACAAGATGTGTCTAAAAATACGTTGAGAGAATAATATAATTTTAAGTACAAGGATTCCTATGAACTTGAGTCAGAAAAAATTCACTTAAGACCCATTTTTCTGATAAGTAATTCAAAAATAGCCTTTGCATTCTCGATTGCAATAATCTGATAAAGGAACAGTTTTCTTTTTCGTTTCCAGTGGCGGGGATGTGGAGCATAATTGAATAATAACATTTTATCTAAAATATTCTGTGCCATTTTCAACATTTATATCAAAATGATAAGCACAAGAAAAAGTGAGTTGACCTATAGTACGATCGTATTCGATGCAAAGTAATAAATCATTGCCTGTCAAGGGAATCAGTGCAACACATTTTATAGGGGGTTTTGGAAATTGAATAATTTCTTTATGCATTATGTATTAACAGTTATATATTTATGAAGGACAAAATGAAAAACAAAGGCATCTCCTTCGCACATTGGGCGGCAGGACAACAATACATTTATTACTACCTTCATTATCCCTCATATGACTTGCGTCTTGTGTTTTTTGCGGCGGCGCGGGTGCCGGCCTGGCGTGGTCAGTTTCGTTTCGGTTGTATTGGTGCTGCGTGTTTCTCGCTCGCGATATATGTGAGGTTATAACTGTTATAAGTGCAATTATATTTCTTTCGGGCTATATGTGTTTCGCGCTATTATTTGAGAATTTGTGAGTGAAATCATATTTCTTGTGCTCCGTAACAAAAGTGTTTTTAGTGTTTTATTTGTGTGATGTGTGTGTGTTTCGGGCTGTTGTTTGTGAATCGTGAATGCTATTATATTTTCTGTGCTAGTGAAGTGAAGTTTTTTGTATTATTATTGCTCTGTTGTCGTTATATGGATAAATGGAGGCGGTGCCTGGATGTTCGCGAGCCGGATGTACTGCTGTGGGTACAAAAAATTCTATATTAAGTTACAGAGAAAAAACGATAATATTAAATGTCTATAACCCTTTAGAAAAGGATCATCCCATGAAACTGAAGACTGGTTTGGTGGAAATGTGTTCTAGATATACTGGAGTAAGCGAATTATCTGTTTTCAAAATTTTGAGAGAGAAGAAAATTGAAGGAGACGTTAAGAAACCTAAAAAAGGGGGTGAAAAGAAGAAATTAATATTAAATGAAGATGAGAAAAATGCAGTTTGGCGTACAGTACATAAATCATAGAATTTATATTTTGTTTATAATTTGTTAACATTTCTTGTTTGATAGAAAAATAACTTATTTTGTTGAGATTGGTAGAGAATTGTTGTTAGTGTTTTCATTTGATAGAATCATATCATAGGATTTATATTTTGTTTTCATTCTGTAAATATTTATAGTATATCTGTTATACAAGGTTTTTGCTTTGAAACTTCGTTCTCCTTATAAAAAAAAAGAATCGTAATGGGGTGCGATGAAGAGATCAGTTCAAGTCTCAAAAATCCCTTTATTCTCATAAACTATTTGTTTTAAATGTAATTTATTATAAATCCAATTCGTTATTTAAATTCCACATATGTACTACATTTCACCTCTGTACGCGCCACTGTTTATTGTACCCTGCTCTACGATCAAGCTCGCCAGGTTAGTATTTGACGTATAACCGACCACTTCGTGCACTCGATGCACCTGGCCGACTACAGCTAGTACCAGAACCAGTGCGTATGCGGCGGTATTTCAGATTTTACATTCAATTTCATTTTAAATTTGAAACGGTTCATCTTACGCCTCCTAAAAATGATGACACGATTTTCCTTTGATAAAAGACCGACAATTTTTTGCTCTACTTTGCATCGTATACGATCGTACTATAGGCTATCCACATGGAGTTTGACTCGCTGAATCTAAATCTGTCGTTAGTTTTACATCAACACTTACAGGATTTGGGTAAATCGCTAAATATTGCTGAAAAATCAACAAAATCAACCAACATTAGGAGGAAATATGAAAACATTGGATGGATTCTTCAGAAAACTAAGTATGCTGGCAACAGTCAGCATTTACTTTACCAGATATCTCTGCTTCTTGTATGTATGGGATAGTCAAGATATTTATAAACAATCACTACAAATCAGTGGCGGTTCGTGACATTGCGAAGTTCCTTCTTCAACCTATCTATTTCAAAAACGTTTGGATACATTAGCAATAAACAATCAAACGATTTTTCGGGAAATTTGTTTGCATATTCGGGAAATTTTGAGGAATTTGTTAAAGCAAAAAAAATTAAATAATGTAAATTCCCAAAACGAGTAAGTACTTAATTAAAAGGAAATATACTTTGAAAATTTGAATTCGTCGCAACTTTTGCCCCGTTTACTTGGTAGTCCAATAATATTTTTCGCATAATTAAAAATATTTGATCTACAAGTACACCATTTATATGTTACAGAATGCGCTTAATGTCATTAGTCTGTGGTGCCTAAATAATAATTTAACGCTAAATGCCCCCTAAGTGTAATATTATATTCACAAAAAAAAATTCTGAACTATTCGATTATAAATTGGATAATATAATATTGCATAGACCCGACTACATAAAAGACCTTGTAGTTACATTTGACCCTACATTATCTTTTACAAAACATACAGACATAATTGCGTCATCTGCTTTCAAGAAAATGGGATTCATAATAAGGAATTCCAAAGACTTATCAGTATTTCTACACTACGATTGCTCTACACTAGCTTTATTCGTTCCAAATTAGAATATACATCAATAGTCTGGAACCCAATTTACGCTAATCAAATTGCAAATTTAGAAATAGTACAGCGTAGGTTTATGAAATCAGCTGTGTACTTATTGGATGGTACATATCCTCCTCATGGTTTTTCAATATTCATGTCCTTGCTAAAAGAAGATTTTTCAAGTAATGTTTTTGTATAAAGTTCTACGTAACATTTTGGACTGTCCAGGTGTTTTAAGTAATATTAATATCAAAGTACCACGACTATCAGCTAGAAGTAATACTGTTTTTAGTCTACCCGCAGCTCATAGTAACGTCCTAGTGGCATCACCATTGTATCAAATTGTTTGCAAGTACAGTGAGATAGAAAATAATGACGATCTATTTTGTTGTTTAGCTAATGATATAAAAAATGCTTTATTTATGTAGTCATATCTATCTTTTATAGTTTGTTGCCTTTTTATTTTGTTCTTTATATTTGTGTTATTTGTAAATTTTAGTCCGGTCAAATTAGTCATAAAAATAGTGGTTAAATAACGAAAATTCCGACAAAGCTAAATTTTGGTGAAGACCTTGGGTACACCATTAGAAATAAAGTGTCATAAGTCCCCACCGTTCCCATGTGTGCTAAAATAGTTATTCGGGGTCAAAAGTCAAAATTTGAGGTTTTTTGGATTTTTTTCGAAAACGGTAAGTTTTATCAAAAAAGTAGCTGTGAAATAATTATAGATCTGAAACTTATCTACAAAAATGGTCCTTATTCTTTTTTTTCTAAGAACTACCATTCTTGAGATATCGCAATTCTAAAAGTTGAAGGAGTCACATTCTACATGATATGCACATATACACCACGTATATACATAGTTAGGCACTTAATGCAAGTAAAAATGCCTATTTGTGTCTCTTGTATGCATAAACTATATTATTATGAGAATATACACTCAAAAGAAATTCAGTCCCTTGGCCAAAATGACGCAGATGTCCTTACAATTGAAAAGCAATAGAACAATTTAATGCAACAAATACAACTATTATAGTTGGTGAAGATATTGACTTATTAATACTACTCACTGCAAGGACTCCAACTGATAAAATTATATACTTTTTATAACCTGGAAAGTCTCAACAGCGAACAGAAATATATTCTTCAAAATGTTTATCTGCTTATCCAAAATGCCAAAACCATATCTTATTTTTAGATGCGATAACCGGCTGCGATACTACATCAGCAATGTTCAGAAGGGGTAAAACATCAGTATAAAAATTATTTGGAAAAAAAGATTTGATTGATTGCAGAAATTGATTTTTCACCTCGAACAATAATCACAAAAGGAATTCGCTTTCTCCTTGCTGTTAAGGAGCTCCAAAAAAAATTGATTGTATAGATAAATATAGATATTTAACTTCTGTAAAAAATACACGTAATAAGAAACAAGTACAACTATCTTGTCTTCCTCCAACATCGGCTTCTGCTAATCAACACTTGTATCGAGTAGTAAGTTGTCAGACTAGGCAATCAACTGAACCCAGAAGACTGGGATTGGAAATTAACAGATAATATTTTGGAACCGATTCAAACTTTACTTCCACCTGCTCTGGAAAAACTTCTAAACACTATTTTTTGCAATTGCAAAAAAAGTTGTAGTGCTAAATGTGGCTGTAGAAGAGTAGGGTTACTGTGTTCTCCAGCGTGTACTAATTGCCAAAGTCAGTCTTGCTCAAATGTCCAATTGAAGGTTCATGTGATTTCGATGAAGAAACAGCTGATTCATCTTCATTTGAACAATTTATGAACATTCAGCAAGAAAAAGAGGGAGAGGAAGAAGAAGAAATCGAAGAGGACATGACTGTTGAAGTCGACTTTGAAGAGTATGAATCAGATAAAATATCAAAAGAAATCAGAACTACAGTTAAAGTCAATAACCAATATCAATATCAATAATCATCATACAGTTAAAAGAGTATTGCCCCTGAAAAATCCGTCATAACAGTTCATGGAGTAGGCCTATCGGGTAAACTACGTTAAAAAAAACGCATCAAAGTACACTACCTCACAGGTGGTGTGGAAATGTGTGCATGTCATGTAGAACGTGACTCTTTCAACTTTTAGAATCGCGATATCTCAGGAATGGTAGTTCTTAGAAAAAAAGTATAAGGACCATTTTAGTAGATAATTTTAAGATCTATAATTTTTGTCAGGACTACTTTTTTGATAAAACTTACCGTTTTCGAAAAAAATCCAAAAAACCTCAAATTTTGACCTTTGACCCCGAATAACTTTTTTAGCACACATGGGATCGATGGGGACTTTTGAGACTTTATTTCTAATGGTGTACCCAAGGTCTCCACCAAAATTTAGCTCTGTCGGAATTTTCATTATTTGAAATGTCTACTTTGACCAGGCTATTTGTACTATTTTTATTTATTTTTTCTCTATTTTTAATGTATGTGTCGTTGATACCATTTAATCGGTATGCTATTCCTTACATAACCCTATGTTGTATACTTTAAGAATCAATAAAAAATTTACAATTTATTAAATAAATCCTGTGTTTTCTATTGAAATTATTTCCTGTGTGACTTTTGGATATCCTTTAGTTGGGAATTCTTTTTTAATTACTATAGTTAAAGTTCCTATATTTACTGTTGCCATCTTTTATCATATGGTAGTAGTAGGTAGGATATTTAAAAATAGATGTACTTTTTATACAGGTAAAAATTATATTGATAACCTAAGATAGATCTGTCTTTTAAAATTAAATTGTAAGAAGTACTGATTCTGTGTAAAATGTATTACAATATAAATAGGTAAAATCTAAAACGATTAGAAACTTAGTGAGGCTTTGTGTAAACGGAAATTGAATAATAAAAGGCGATTGAAAGTTCATAGTACAAATACTTAATATAAAAATCCAGACACTATTAAGTTGAACGTCGAGATAACCATAATCCTTTTTCCCAATTAAAAAAAAATTGATATCTGATGAATTACATACTCCTCAATTTTTCCTTCACATAATCCTTTTCACATAATCGCTGTATTAACCTGTCGCATACATACAAACAAGTATTATGGAGATTACAAACGTATAAAACAACGAGGGGGACAAGAAAAATCATTTATGTTCCTGATCGAAATGCAAGTCGCGTTAGTGTATATTTTGTGTTTCATCGGGTTGGCTAAGGTAATATTTGTATTAATTAATCGAATAGGTTGTCTCTGTATCCATTTGTTTGCGTTCAGGCCGACATCGATTGGAACACAGTTTTCCCCAACCACCTGCTGAATATTTCTCACAGCAGGGCTCCTCATGGTATTCCAAGTCCGAGAATCACAGGTGGAGTAGAAGCTGTTCCCAACTCGATTCCATACCAGGTGAGTTTATGAAACAAAGATTAGTCCGGAAACCTTTTCCGATATTACTATAAAATGAAACAATATGGCAAAGAAACGTGACATCATTATTTAACTAACTCGCTAGGGGTTACGCTAGAGGATCCACCCCCACAGAGCTTAGCCCGAGAACAACAAGGGTAAATCAGAGATTCCTAGCTAAGGTTAAGGAAGCGCATTGTAACTGCCGGCAACTACGGCATAACAACCAGAAAAACTCATTTCTATTTCGACTTATTGGTATAATTTCAGGTAGCTCTCTTTATTCCTGTCAGCGTGGGCACTGGCTTTTGTGGCGGTTCACTAATCGCACCGCAAACGGTTCTTACAGCAGCCCATTGCGTTGACGAGTAAGAATTTTTACAATTTTTTATGTGTAGTTTGTCATCTCTAGTTATGGTAAGCTCCATAGCTTTAGTTTTATGGACAATATGTAAATATTGTCCATAAAACAAAGCAACGTCTATTTGCACACCCTGTATGTGTTAAGAATCTGCTGTCATTTAAAATACAGTATCCCCCTAAAGTCGTGCACAAATTCATTATTAGGTAAACAAAGGAAATTATTAAAAATTCCTGAAACAGGTCGATTTTTGAATTCAATTTTTAGTACGTTTATTTATTTGTAAATAAATTTAGTATTTGTAAATAATTTGGGTATTGTTGTCCTCCCTGTAACAATTAGAAGCAACTTGTGGTATATTTTTGGAATCAGCTCAGTTAGGGCAATGCGAAAATTGGAAAAAAAGTGGGGTGTTCCATTTAAAAAAAATTGTGATGACGTCATTACTCGAACATAGGTCACCCTGTATATTAAATTATTATTTGAAAAAATAGTAAATTAAATTCAAAAATCGACCTGTTTCGGGAATTTTTAATAATTTCTTTTGTTTACCTAATAATGAATTTGTGCACGACTTTAGGGGGACACTGTAT